TCAGTATTCAAAAATTCAAACTTGTAACCAGCGTTATCAAGGGCATATATAGAGTCACGTAATTCTTTATATATTCAAATAATATTATTATCAGAAGTAAGACTGAAATTTATCATTAGCAATTTTCCCTTTGCATGTTACTGTTTGACTTACTGTGCAGTGCAATGACCATCTATTTCTAATTGCAATAAAAATCGGTACGATATAAATCCTTTTCCTGTTTTCTAGATTCAAAACTTGCCATCAACCCTTTATTTAAGGTCTTTGGTCTTTGGGAATAGACAATTTGTCTGAAAAATCTTCAACTAACTTATCCATCTAACAAATAACCGGACATGGAACAAGCCGAATGCACAAGATATGACTCGTGAATTTTATTTGAGATCGAATCAACTATTTGTGTAAAAGATAAGTTTCGTGTGCATCCCTATTGTCCTTGAAACTATTTCCTCTGTCATTTACTACAATAGTTTCCGCGTAAAGAAATACCAACTTGCATCCTGACCAGTCTTATCAGTTGCATTAATATGTTTATTTCAGTTTACAACTACTTCCGCTTAACGATGTTCTTGGTGCCACATCTTTTTGCCAACACGCAAGCTATTCTGAAATGACTGGATATACTTCTAACCATTTTAGAGTATACTATTAAAGTTTTAGCAAGCAAAATAAAAGGATTTATAACTTCATGCAAGAAGTATCCTTTAAACTAGCATATATTTTAATGGAGGTTCGAATTGATACCATGCTATCATGACTGAAAGCAAACATATAACAGAAATGTTTAAGTACTGTGGTGAATCGATTTAAATGTAACATTATTTATCTATATATATAAAAATCCGATGTGTACACCACATGACTTCCTTGTACGGAATATTAAATTATACGCATTTTTTCTTGCATTTCGTTTAACTTATTAGATTGAATCAAACCTACTTCGCCGACAGCGCATAAACCACAAATGAATAAATGCATTCTTTAAAATTCACTTTGTTTACCATAGCGACACTCTGGCGCTAGGTTCACTTAACAGTATTATATTTCGTTCATATTATAACTCAGAATGCACAAAATTTTTATCATTTAAAGAATTATCTAATCGTTGCCACATGTTCTATTCAAATACTATAACAAAGCTAGAACGATGTATAAAAGAAATTAAGCAAACGAAACAAAAAAGAAACAGTTTATCACAGACGATTGAGTATTTATCATTCAATTAAAATTCAGTTCTCACTTCGCGACAAGGCAAAAATTCATAAAAACTCAAAATATCTGTATTAAGAATTACGAAGTAAATCTTAAACACTTATTTTCTCGAAAAAATTCCAAAAAGAATTAAGCATGATTTAATTCGCAATAATAAATGAAGGCGTTATCTTTGTTGTTGCGAAGCTAAGTTTCTTTAGATTGGCAACAAATCCGCTATCCTGCTGTTTCAAATGTAAACAAGCGCAATGGCCGCCATCAAAAAATTTATTAGGCTTAGCGGCACTTAAACAATTTTAAAATTGTTGATAATTCTAAAAATATTGCATACAGATGTACTAAAGGCATAAGAATCTTAACCGAAAAATAAGAACAACATAATTCAATCCTTTTTAAAGCAAAAAATGTACAATTTACAAACATATAAGAGTAAAGAAACTGAGATCACTGAGCCAGGTAACAGCGTGGATATATATATACGTTTGGTGCGGCCGATTGCAACCAAAATACGAGGTGAACATCTACATGTTATAGTAGTCCTATACACAAAATTTCAACGTTCTGAGGCTACTTGTTTTTGAGTTATGCGAGATGCGTACGTACGTACGTACGTATGTAATACGTTCATACAAACGCCAAGGAAAAATCTCTCTTCACAATTCCTTTTAAAGCAGTTTTATAATTTTTTGGAGGAAAAGAGTGTTTTATTCTGTCCTTACATACAGATATCATGGAAATACATCGTTAAATTGCATTCGAAAGAGGTCAAAATGGATATTTTCGTTGAAATATGCTGCCTGAAACTTTTCGCGATTACAATATTTCCTTTTTACTTCGTACAAGGAAGTAAAAAAGAAAGTCTGTGTGTTTGGTTGTCCCCTAATAACCCAGTCACTACTATAGCTATCGTCACCAAACTTTCTACGATTCTTTTCTGGAAAAACTTCCACGTTTTTCCAAAATAAAAGTAGCTAAAATCAGAGATATTAATTAAAAACTCGGAAAAACGTTAATTTTCGCCCTCATGTTTAGGAACGCCAATAGTCTCGCAAGCTGGAGATGAAAATCTGCTTTAATTTCGAAAGTTGTTGCTACTGCTTGCTTTCAAATACTCCTCGCTTTGTTAATCAAACATTTCTAAGTTTTACGATGAAATAAAAATAGTATTGCCAAACATTAAATACATTATTCCTGACTCCGAAATTTCGTGGAAAGCCATTTCGACTATTCCCATCTTCGTGCGACTTTAATCAGCCGAAATATTAATTAAAAACTCTGAAAGCGCTAGTTTTCGCATTTATTTTTCCGAGTGGCAACAGTCTCGCACGCTAAAGATAAAAATGCTTTATTTCGAAAAGTGTTGCTAATACTCGCTTTCAAATCGCAGAGTTTTGTTTGTTGATCAAATATTTGTAAGCTTTACAAAATCTATGCATATAAAGAATGTCTGTTTATGTTTTTGCTTAAGTTATTGATTTCTGATTAATTAAGATAAATTTTTTGCCACATTTAATCGACTAAAATTGAATATAGTTGAAATATTGGATGGAACTTAAGCTTTTACGACCATTTGATTAGAAAGACGAAATTCATTAAAAACTGCATGCCATTGTTGCTGATATAATTAGCTTATATTTCTATCGAAAATTTTTATGTGGGTTCCATATCGCATCAGAGTGAAAAATGTATGATTATGAATAGTTATTATAGAAGGATTATAGCGGTGTCCTCGATTATTAAATGCATTACTGTCCTCGATTGTTCGATGCAATCTAACTTAACTGGCATCGGGTATTTTCACTAATAAGTTTATAAATAGTATAAATGAAGAGTGAGTTCTAAATCGAAAGGTCGAGAAGCATTGCAGGTCACGTAAACAAATTTCGCAATTGATGTTCATCGATTAAAGGAAAATTATCTTGGACGAATCTAACCAAACTCTGGGTTTTTAGTTCTTCAGTGTTTGACCTACTGAATGAAAATAACCAAGACTTTACGAATAAGCCTCAAGTAAGGAAGCTATTCCAGTATTTTCTCACCAATGATGTTAAGATATCAGTTACATTGCGTGGTATTGATTTATATATTCCAGTATTACCCTTAGTATGATTTAATGCTAACAGGAGAAGGGAAAATTAACGTTAGTAAATTGTTAAAAAAAAAAAACCTGATGTGTACACCACATAACTTCCTTGTATTGGAATATTAAATTATACGCATTTTTTCTTGCATTTCATTTAAACTTATTGGATTGAATTAAATCTACTTCGCCGACAGCGCATAAACCACAATAGAATAAATGCATTCTTTAAAATTCACTCTAGTATTAGTTTACCATAGCGACACTCTGGCGCTAGATTCACTTAACAGTATTAATAATTATATAACAGTTAACTTATATAATAATTATGTAATGGAAACTAAGTTAACTGTTATATAATCCAATAATTATATAACATTTAACGTATATATTTCGTTCATATTATAAATCATAATACACAAAATTTATATCATTTAAAGAATAGAATTATCTAATCGTTGCCACATGTTCTATTCAAATACTGTAATAAAGCTAGAATGATGTATAAAAACATTTAAGCAAACAAAACAAAAAAGTAACAGTTTTTCACAGACGATTGAGTATTTCTCATTCAATTAATTCAGTTCTCACTTCGCGAGAAGGCAAAAATACATAAAAACTCAAAATATCTACATTAAAAATTACGAAGTAAATCTCAAACGCTTATTTCCTCGAAAAAATTCCACAAAGAATTAAGCATGATTTAATTGGCAATAATAAATGAAGACGTTATCTTTGTTGTTGCGAAGCTAAGTTTCTATAGATTGGCAACAAATCCACTAGTCTCCTGTTTCAAATGTAAACATCAATGGCCGCCATTAAAAACAGGCTTAGCGGCAATTAACCAACTTTAAAATTGATGATAATTCTAAAAATATTGCACACAGATTTACTAAAGGCATACGATCCTTAACCGGAAGATAAAAACAACATAATTCAATCATTTTTAAAGCAAAAAATGTACAATTTACAAACATATAAAAGTAAAGAAACTGAGATCACTGAGCCGGGTAACAGAGTGGATATATATATAAATATATTTATATACGTTTGGTGCGGCCGATTGCAACCAAAATACGAGGTGCACGTCTACATGTTATAGCAGTCCTATATACAAAATTTCAACGTTCCGAGGCTACTCGTTGTTGAGTTATGCGAGATACGTACGTACGCACGAACGTACGTACGTATCTCGCGTAACTCAACAACGCGAATTAATCTTTAAAATTAATTCTGAAGAGAATTTTTCGTGGCGTCTGCACGAACGTATGTACGTACGTACGCACGAACGTACGAACGTACGACATACGTCGTGCAGACGCCACGAAAAATTCTCTTCAGAATTAATTTTAAAGCAGTTTTATAATTTTTTTGAAGGAAATGAGTATTTTATTCTGTCCTTACGTGCAGATATCACGCAAAAACATCGTTAAATTGCATTCGATAGCGGTCAAAATGGATATTTTCGTTGAAATATGCTGCCTGAAACTTTTCGCGATTACAATACTTCCTTTTTACTTCGTACAAGGAAGTAATAAACGAGATCTTAAAACTTTCTTTTTAACTTTAACCTTTCTAATTTGATAAGCTTACAGGCAAATGCTATAATAGTTTTGGTGTAAAAATAAAAAAAGCAAATATTCTATTCCTTTGCAGTTTATCAAAACTAAAACACTTCCTATTTCATCATCAGTTTAATTTTCCATAGACACTACTTAGAATCTGGGACTGCTTTCTGCTGGAAGGCCCAAAAGTACTTTTCCGCTTTGCCCTTGGAGTTTTGTTCCTTCAAGAAGAAGCCATACTTGCAAAACACGATACGGTATCTATCATGCGACAGCTAAAAGCAGCTGGCAAGCTGTGTTTTGACGTGGACGGATTGATATCGGTATGAATGATACATATTTTATTAATTTGTTATTGTATAATTCAATCCAAACAGTAGCTTCATGTAAACAAAATCATATTGTTTTTTTATTGCTCAAAATAACGAATCTTTTAAATAACTTGCAGTAGTTAACTGGAGGTATGAGAAATACCTGTAATGCACATTTTCCGACTGGAAACGTACGCAGGAAAAGTATAATGCATAAAGAGCTCCGTCTCTTTTAAGAATTTCTACTATAAAAGATGGGTACTTTTCCGTTGCCCCGGCGCAAATCTCGCCAAGCAGACTTTATTGGCAACAACATACATTATACACCCAAAAAATATTAAAAAAATGTTAGTCCTAAGAATTCTTTTTTTGAAGGCATAAACATTTTAATATCGCTTATAATTTTATAAAAAGCCAATAAATAAAGACAATAAATTTATAAAAAGACATTAATTTAAGAATTTACTATGCTTTCATGGTTGAACATCCTGTTTCGCCGGTTCATATCACGTGACCCCAAGCGATCTCATCTCACGTATACTACTCTACAAAAATATAATGCTCTCAGTAATTATCTACATTAATTTCAAGTTAAATCTTAATTTGGAACACAAGTTTAAATGCAAGAAATACTTCAATGCGTACGAAATAGCTACTCAGAAATTATGTAAACTGCAGTGCTTTACTTCGCTAATGCATTCTCATTAGAATTGATGAATTTAACCCTTGACTTTACCTTCTCTATATTTTCGGCTTCGGGTAAGCGCTGTGATTGCATCCTAATTGATTTAATTGCCGAAAATGGCCTTAGACATAAAACTGAACTATCTGATTGAGGCGTAAAAGGTTACCAGCGAGAATATTCCTTTTGGCATCGGTTGTACCATTATTGGCGACTTTATCGCTTGCGCCGGCAAAACGGAAAAGTACCAAAAGAAAGATGCTGTTTGAAAACAAATACTCGTCGTTCGTTTTGCTTATCTGAAACAGTCAATAAAAGCGCCTCTCACCCCATTGGTTTAGCAAATATGTGTTCAATGATTCAGTGACATAAGAATATGCCTTCTGCAATGTTATTTTACCTTGAAAATTTTATCATTTAATATGAATCTTCTGTAGGCTGAAATAAGATTTACTGGATGATCATTTGAAGTTTCCTCTTTCTAAGTTGGTTACTTTCGAAAATTTATTGCACTCACTTTCAGTCCCGGATTTACGTCTAAACTACACAAGCTGTAGCTTAGGGCCCCCACTTTCTTGGGGGTCCCCCAAAATTAAAATATAATATGAATAGTATTAAAATATATGATAACAGACTTATAAAGGCCTCCATATCTCAAATAGCTTAAGACCTTACCAAGTTTAAATCTGAATCTGCTCACTTTCATGATTCTCAAACAAATATGGTCACCAGTTCAAATTAGTTGGGCCGTTTGTTATTATATCAATGCGATTTCAGTATACGGTTGATCCTCGAACACAAGGTTCAAGGATGCCGAATCCCCCTCAAATCACCCCCTCCCCCACTCTATTAAAAATCCGCATGTAACTTGTCCAAAAATAGCTAAAATTTAACAAAATAATTAATGTACTAAGATGAAAACCTTCTAAAGATTTAAAACAAAACTCACTCTTGAGGGGAAGTATTAATGGTAACTCAGAGAAACACATTTTTCAAATATACGTATAGTTTTAATTAATAATCAGGGGAAGTAGATTAAACCATCCCAGGAAGATGCTAAAATTATATAAACAAAAACCTATTATATTTTTGAATTATGAATAAAAATAAAGATGATTCTTTACTCCTTTTAAGCATTTTTTTAAATTTATTCAAAGTGGATATATCAATCATAGTAAAATTTAAAATGGGGTAATAAACTGAACATCAAAACCTGAATAATTTAAAAGAATTGTATCCGATTTTATTCGGCATGACCTTTTGAGCATTTAGAGATAAAAATAAAATACGATATAAAATAAAACGAAAATTAAAAAGAAAAATGAAAAATGTATATATTATTTACACCCCATACTCAAAATATTTTGCAATTATCTCGAAGTGGTAAGATCTGGCACTAATACATAATTTTAAAAATAAAGTTACCATAATACATTACCATATTAAGTATCAATTGTAACTTAATAGAGAATCTAGTAAAAACACGTCAGTTTACGCAAAAAATACAGCGGTCAATTTAATCATAAAATTTAAATTTGCCAATAATTGTAAAAAGTATTATTGTAGAAAATAATTAAAGTCCTTTAAATTCATTTCAAGCTATTCATAGCAAAAATTAAAGCTAAAACTTCTTCTATGAGAAAATAAAAGAAATTTTAAAAAAAACTTACAAAAATTCTGTTCTCACCATTCAAACAACCTGTAAAAATCAAAATGGCGCCATTCCTCTTTTCTTGTTCAGAACACGTGGAATCGAAGTAGCAAGATTGCCATTTCGTGTGAACTTTATTCAAACGTAGCACTGGTCGAACCTGACAATGCACTTTGCATTTAATAACCCCGCCTAAGTTGACGATGACAGCAAATTAGTTGAAGCAAATGACATTAAGAATAACATAATGCTGACAATTTGCAGTTATTAATTATTTGGATAGCTTTAATTACTCTGTTTGCAAAAGGTCTACCTATCAATGCTCATAAACGAACGCAGTAGATGTTACATGTGTTATTAACAACAGATATGAAAACTCTTACTTCTGGGTATACTTTACAGCAGTAATTTCTGTAGGTATGTGTGCTTGGGGAAAAAATGAAAAAAATTGTTAACTAATAGGGGGACTGGAAAGTAATGTCGTTTCTGCGCATGTTGACAACAACATGCTAAGGGCAGAAGTGGAAGCAAATCCATGTCAAACACTCTTAACCAACCTTGGTAGACCATCCAAGAAAATTTAAAGCAGAATGTAAAAATAAGCAAAGCAGGTGTTTGAGTCCCCCATAATCTGTCCGAAAAGAACAAAGCCAACATATCCATCACATGCAACGTATTGTTTCAACGACACCATACAGAACCGTTTTTTGATCGTTTGATTAGTGGAGACAAAAAAAATGTAAGTCCTATATGATAATCCAAAACTCCAAAGGCAGTTTTAATAGGGGTTACAAAGGGTTTACATCCCGAAACGGCGCTTCTGGGTGTTTGATGGAGTATTCGCGGAATTGTTCATTTTGAATTGCTGAAACCTGGAAAAACTGTTAATGTAGACCTTTATTGTGAACCAATCTTTAATCGAAAAACATCTGGCGATTGTCAACAGAAAAGGCATCATTCTGCAACACGACAATGCAAGACCAACACTGGAAAAATATAATGAATTGGGGTGGGAGTTACTGCCTCACCCACCAAATTCGTCCAATATCGCACCCTCGGATTTCCATTTATTCCGATCCCTGCAACATTTCCTTAGTGACAAAAAACGATTGTCAACAGAAAAGGCATCATTCTGCAACACGACAATGCAAGACCAACACTGGAAAAATATAATGAATTGGGGTGGGAGTTACTGCCTCACCCACCATATTCGTCCAATATCGCACCCTCGGATTTCCATTTATTCCGATCCCTGCAACATTTCCTTAGTGACAAAAAATTTGAAAATTTTGATGATGTCCAAAATGCCATCTCGAGATATTTTACTCAAAAACCAATTAATTTTTATAGGTCTGGGATTCAAATCGGCATACTAGATGGCAAAAAGTTGCTGATAACGAGGGTGATTATATTATTGATTAAAAATAAAAACTTGTTACAAATTTATTCGTTTGAATTTAACGTAAGAAAGTGACATTACTTTTCGGTCCCCCTATTAGATCTCAATGTCAACATAAATAATAAGCATTTTCTATTGAATATTATGCACGTTTTAGAGGGAAAATCAGCAAACTTCGCATAGAATACAGCGACAGATTAATCGCTTATGTTTTTATTAGGCTGCTTTCGAAGAACTGGAACCTTTCCCCAAACGTGAAGAACTCTGGACTCGACGAGCGGATTTCTATAACGTTCTTCTGGAGAAAGCCAAGAAAAAAGAAAGAGAGCTAAATGCTTTGAGAGAAAGAGAACGCATGGTAAGAATTTTTCAGAATTTAAGCACCAAGTCTTCTGATTTGAGTACGATACAATATACAATCGAATGATCAAAGCAACGAATTACAGTACTTATACTGCGAAATACTTATTACAAGTTTTCCTGGAGAGTTTATTCAAGTGTTAAAGTTGTCTGACACTACAAGAAATTAATTTCCTGTATTGTAAAGAATTAAATGTGAATAAATTCTAATTGGGATGATATCCATCGTCAGCAATGGCCAGTCTTACAATGATCAAAATCCAACAGCTGCAAGGTTCTGAGCAAGAAGCCACGTTAATTTGTATCGAATGGCTTCTTTAAAATCGCCATTTGCAATTAATTCTGAAATCTGTGTTTTCTTACTTCCTAGGCGGAAACGTGAATAATCAGTTTTTCATTGTAAAAAATTTCTATCGAGTAATTTGTTCTAAACGAACAATAAATTAGTTATTATGCTTTTATATTAAATACGAAAATATATAATTAATTGCTTTTTAATAATATTAAATATTTTAATAATATTAAATGTTTCGATTTTTAACGCAAATTTTAATAATATTAAATGTTTCGATTAAATATAATTATTTTTTTTTTCAATATTCCTATTTTAATTATGTGCCACGACTTTTGTCATGCATGTCCACAGGAGGGAATAGCCAAAAGAAGCTTACCAACCAATATCAAGCATAAAATGTGTTTATGTATTGATGAATGTATAATATGTGCATATTTTGTATTGTATAAAATATTTTTGAATATCGCTAGATGAAATAATCAATAAAGATTTGCTAAAGAATTATTTTCCTCCCTTCCCCCTGTTCCATAGAATATGGAAAATTTTCAGTGAAAGCCCATAGCTGTTGTGATTTAATATGTAAAGCACCTATGTTGAACACAATGTTTTACTAAATTTCTCATTTTTTATATAGATGGCCCAAGTAGAACTGGAAGGTCCTCATAATCATCTTATTGAGTGTGCAGCAGTTTGGGGCAAAGGTGAGTGTGCTCAAAATGTGGTACATTTACCACATTGTTATCACTTTGTGTATGACTGCTTTGATTAAATTTACAATTAAACAAACCTAAATAATAAGAGATTATATATCTTTAGGCAAAGTACTTTGATTACTTAAATGAAAGTTTATTTCGATATTTTACTGACATGTCATTGGCCGAATGTGATGGCTGAATGCGGATAGTTTGAATTCTGGCAAACGGGCTCTCTGCGTCAGAGTATGATATCCCTCGTCTTTACGATATCCTTCGTAGTTTTTGATATCCCTCGTGGTCCTTATCTTAAATAATTAAACTACTCTAATCCTAATCTCAATATTTGACTTTCGTTTAAAAGACAAAACACATTAAATTTATACAACCACACTATTACCGAAAACGTTTCGATAAACGCTGTAAAAGGTAAATATTGCCTTCAAATAATCCGTCACGAAATAAGTTTGGAAATCCAGAGATCCGAGACCAAAAATGCTTTACAAATATAATTAACGCTGCTTAAAAAACTTAGAACAATAACTGGCCTCAAATTTATATCTGAATCGACGACGGAATAGAACGAAGTGCTGAATCTTGCCTCGTTATAACTGAGAAATGCTTAGTTGGTTATTTGATCAAATCAAAGCACCTCGAGGCTATATATAGGTAGGTAGGTAGATGACGGAAGACGGGGACGCCTGGTGGCTACCAGAGATAAACAGGCATGTGTCCCTCGCCTTCCACTATCTAATGGCAACAATTCCCTGTGGCCTCAAGAGTCCACACCGGGAGCTTATTAAGGGTGCAGGAGTTTACATGGCCAAACAGGGCGACTTAATAACATTGCTTGACTAATTACATAATTACAGGTATGAGACTTGTGGGACGGATTTACAGATGAGGGACTCAGAGCTAGGTACTAAATGTATGAAAACACAAAAACATGAAAATACACAGAAAACACACACGCAGAGGGAAAAAAAGGGGGGGAGAGGGATACACTTGATTAACACTGAAGACTTATGACAAATAAAGCACACTTAAAAATAATAATACACATATACCACATGTCAGATACATATTTGGCCTCATTGATCACATATACTGTACATTGTGGGGTGTGTTTACAGACGAGGGGCCATAAGATGGGAATAACATGTGATTGCTGCACATTGATATGGGGGAAACGTAGAGGTCCGGCGAATATATATTTGTGGAGGGCATAGGTTGCTGAGTATATGAGCATGCCGAGCGCGGTGACATGTTAGCAGCACAGGGTGATATTCATGTTGACTTCTGTTAGTGGTGGACGTTGTGGGATTATGCAGCGTCGCATATATCTTGGCCCATAGCGGCGAGCTGGTCAATGACCTTACAGATTTTATTGATTGCAGGTTTGTTTTTAATAATGAACCGTTGAAAGGCGTCTGTAGGAGGAGTGGGATGCTTAATGTGGTTGTTTGCTGTGAGTGGGCAAGAGTAGATATAGTGGTCTGGTGATCCAAGTTGGCCGCACACGCAAGCATCTGTAGAGGAGATGTTGTGCCTATAATAATACGCTGGATAGGGGCCATGTCCCGTTATGAACCGGGTGAGTTGGGGTATAGCTATGAGGCGTGATAGAGAGACTTTGGGTAGGAGATTGTAGGTCCGTCGTCCGGTGTCACACGCGTTCCATTCCTCTTGCCATATTTTGAGTAGGTCTTCTTTGAGAAGCCTCTTTAGATGCGATGGTGGTGCACGGATACGGATTTGCTGAACTTCAGAACTGATGGCGGCTTCTTTGGCTAGGGTGTCTGCTGCCTCGTTTCCAACTAGACCAGCATGCGCCTTGACCCAGGTGAGGTGAATGCGTTGCTGGTGGTTTACAGAGAGTAGCTTTTGGATTTCGGAGATAATTGGGGAGGTGTGGCTTAAGTTTTGAATCGCCAGGAGTGAAGATTGGCTGTCTGTACAGATGCATGCTTGGTGGTAGCCGTTACTTAGTATGTCGTTGGTGGCGTTGAGGATGGCCAAGGCTTCTGCCTGGAACACACTATTGAAGTGCCGAAGTGCTGCCTTCCAACGGGTATGTTCATCATTTTGGTGGTGGTAGCAAATGTAGGCGCTACCAACTCCGTCTTCAATCTTGGATCCATCGGTGTAGTAGACGTACGTAGCGTTGGGAATACTAGAATTGCTAGTGTTGTCTATGGTGATGCGGAAGTTTCTTCCTTGAATGCCTGGGTGTGGGCGTTGGGTGGGGCGAGGGTTTTCATATAAGGTCGGACTGTGGGTTGTATCGTGGAAGGTGGCGTCTTTGCGTAGTTGCAGGACTCTGGTTATTGTAGCTTCTTGCTCGGCTCTAAGATATAGTGGCGGTATGCCTGCAAGGATGATGGCCGCAGAGGTGGCTGTGGTGCGAAAACCTTTGCACATCATTAGTGCGAAAGGTCTTTGGATGGTCTGTAGTTCTTTAAGTTTCCAGCTTTGCATCGGCGTCGCACATATTGCGGCAGCGCAGAGGACAATGGATTCAATGACTGTGGTGTATAAAATCTTGTTAATATATGGGTTTTGTCCCCAATTTATACTGTGGAATTGACGGGTCTTGCTTGAAAGACTTGTGTCTTAGTTTTGAGTTGCTGTAGATGTGGGATCCATGTAAGGCCTTTGTCCCATGTTAAGCCTAAATACTTGAGCTCTTTGACGATTTTTAGATTTTTCTGTTGGAGTTTGATACATGGATTTCTGCTTGGGTTGGTGCCTGGCTTGGGAATGATTAGAGCGGTTGATTTGGCAGTGGAGATGGTTAATTTGAGTTCTTGGCAGAGGAAGCTGAATTTTTGTAATATTTGAGTGCTTCTGTGTTCCAATTCGTTTCTGGTGCGACCCTGGATTAGGAAACGCAACGTCGTCTGCATAGGCAGCTAGTTGTGCTAGTGGCATGGCAACTGTTGTGTGATGCAACTGTGGCCAGTTGGTGGAGATGATGCTGTTGAAAGTTAGATTCCAGAGCACTGGGCCGGCGCAAGATCCTTGCGGGCATCCTCTCTCCTGCTATATATATAAGGGAGGTGCCTAAGGGAAGACCTTCGTGGTGGATTTTCTTAGAAAATGACTTGTCTTCCCATAATGAGAATGGAAAAAATGGCGTATGGAAAGTTCTAAATATTGGCTTCACAGATTTACTATATTCAAATAAACTAATGTTTAGATCTCGAATTTTGGATTTCTTCGAAAGTTTGGATATGTTTCATACATCGTTTTCAAATTATACCAGTAAGTTAAATAAACCATTCGATATTCATTTCTCCAACAGAGTTATTTCCATGCAAAGAATAGCAATTTATATTATATTTTCCGCAATACAACATGTGATAATGTTTCGCATATACAGAGAACATATATTTCAATTAATTATAAAATTCTATTAATATTAATTAAATAAAACGTAGAACAAAATACTATTGCAGTGAAATGAAATACATAGTAAATTTATCTGTGTACAGGAATAAAATATAAGTATAATTAAGACACAATAACACGCCGAATAAATACTAATTCAGAAGTCAAACAACAAAAATCAGCGTTTATATTTACAAAATTTTCACAGGACTAGTTTCAATGGTTTTACCGAACCACCATCTTCAGCTTCAAAACCGCAAATGAACCAGAGAGGAAATAATGATTAGATAAGATAAGAAAACCTGGACAAGAATAAGCAAGTGGCGCTTCGTGGGACTTTAATTAGCCGAGATATTAATTAAAAACTAATTTTTCCCTACGTTTTCCGTACATTTTCCACTTTTATCCTTGGGTTTTCATTATTAGAGGGATTTGGCTACGTGCCAAATTCTTTTTTCTCGAATATTTACGGAACGGCGCCTAGTTGAAATTCGAGACGCGTATCCTCGGATTCCAAAAAATTCTCCGAATCCATCGATACCGTTCTAATCTTTGTACGACTTTAATCGGTTGAGATATTAATTAAAAACTGCGGAAACGTTAGTTTCCGCGCTCATTTTTCCGAGTGGCAACAATAAACTATCGGCGACACACACTTTAGCCGCTTATATATATATAAAGAAGTAGAAAACTAATCCTCTGCATAACAATTAATAGAGTTTTGAACTTATGTAGGTAACTATTTAAAGATATTATTTAATTAATAATTTTTGTAAATTGGATTAATATTATTCTCCTTTATGAATTTTTCCAATGATATGGCCTCGCATAAAATCATCAAAGTGATCTCAAGAAGATATACCGAAACTTTCAGGATCGTCAGTTAAATCTTTCCCGTAAAACTTTCACTTGGTTCAAGTGTTCGCATGCGTCAAATCATTTGTCAGTGCTATCACGTGAGGAACAAGCGAGAAAATGAAAATTTGCATCAGCATAACTCTTCTTATTGTATTCTCTCTTCTTTAACTTTCCATATTTCGATTCCTTTTATTTTTTGGTTGCTGTGGGTGACAGTTTTGTACGTCCTTAGCAACTGTCTATCAATGTAAAACTTTAAAGTCTGAAAACTCATGTCTGCGATGATTTGTGGGTACTTTATTTTTTACAGAAATATTTTCTACGATTATATAACTTCGAAGTTAAACCACTTTATTTTCAACGACGATGTTTTAGAGCTGCGATGCTTTCTCCTTGCTTTCTTTTCTCACACGATGTTTTCCCTTTGCGTTGTTTCTCCACGACGTTTTTGTTTGCGATATTTTTGATGGACACTTTCTAAATGGTTGATTATCAACTAACTTAGCAACTAGTTTAACTAATTAACAGCTACCATCCGAGGAAATAGGAAATATTATTAACTCATTTTCCATATTCTTCGATTCCAGTTTTTTATTTAACATGTTGTAAGAATTATGTTAATTTTATTAACAGTTACATTTTAAGTTCATTTCCTGTCAAATTCTTAACTTCAACTTACTACTTCCGGCCAGAACGTAGTTTTGGAATCTTGCTGAATATTTAATGAGGAGGAGCGGTATTTAAACCACGAAGTTACTTACTGAGTCAGAGAGAATCAGTTTCTGATTTACGCGCATCTGCCTTTTTGGCCACTCTTTCTCTCTCTCAAAGCTGTTATTACGCTCGGCCATACTCAGGCCCTTGCTAAGCTTCGCAGTCAAATAAGTTAAGGGGCCAACTCGGTTTGAATCTTGATAGCTTCGGCTACATTTCTTTAGTTAATCTTTGTTTTAGTTTAATTCTTGTCCTTTAAATTCAAGCCCAAGGCGGCTTTGCTTGTACCTCCAGGAGTTTTTGAAATCTATTGGAATAAATAAAGGGTTAGCTACCCTTCCATCTTGTTGTTTCTTGTCACCGAACTTAAGCGATTATTCGCTTATCAGCTCTTAGAATCTTCACTTCCAACATTAACTTAGAATTACAAAGTGAGGAAACTCTACAATGTAATTTATTTCTCAGGGTTTACATATAACAGTTTAAATTTTTTGTGGTCGAACAATGAAAGAAGTAATAGAGTTAGTAATACCTTCATTACCAAACTGCTTCATTGGCGGCAAGTCCAAGAATGTCACAAAAAGGTGCAAGGCTTGTTATCTAATATTGTGCTTCTATGTGTTATCTTCTACGTTTGGGCGTATTTTTAATCCCGCTTATTCATTATGTAGTTTTCTTTCCAGTTAATTTATTCTTTTAAAAATTTTTGCATGGCACATGTATCAGTTCAAATTTATGCAAGATGGCGCATGTTTGCACATTCCAAATTAATGCAAGTAAATATTTCGTACATAATATAAACATTTAAAAGCATCTGAATAAATTTCTATGAATTTTATATTGATTTCATGCAATCTTTCTGTGCATTTTTTAGATAAGGTATGGGTATGTCATGGTCATCATCATGGTTCCAGAGTTTCCATGATCCACTGCCACGAGAACATCATGTACCGGCTTCATATAGAGGTCTATAATTTGTCTTACTTCAAATATTAAATATAAATGTGTATGCAGATGCATATTAAACATTTCGAAATTTGTGAATGTCTAATTTTTATTCTTACAGTTCGAGTCACGTGTCATGTGCATGCACGCGCCGAATGATGACACTATGCTTTTCGGAACATATTCAAAATTTGTCCATGCTTACCACACTATATCAAGGTATCTATTTTTAAAATAATTATCATTAATCACACAGCATGCACTTTGTAAGATTTTATGTGAGCTGTCTTTAGCTGTTTGCAGTTTAATTTACCAGTCTTATACATGACACGAATTATTTTTGACATGCTCTTTGTGGGAAAAAAATGCATTATCTCCGAATCAAATAAATATCATTTTAAAGAGATTAGCCATATATTACTTGAAATCAAAAGATTCAGCGGTAACGTAATTCAGCGGATACTTCACATAATGCTGTTATAAAAATAACAACAATATCACAGAGAATGGTGATAAGCATTAACAAGAACTCCAAAAAAATCAGTTCTTAAAAGTAATATCAAATCACGAATTTAGAACAACAGTGTCAATGTTCAACAATATATATTCAACGCAATATAATTTTTAACGATGGATATATATTATTTTAATCATGTATTTTTATTTATCGGTGAAATTTTTATGAAAATAAAGAAGTAAACTACATTTTTTTATTTTTCTGCTCAGTTCTCTAATTCTATGGTTAATATCATTGCAACTGAAACGTCAATAGACTCAAAATTAAAAGATCTTTAGCATAATATATGAAATAAACCCATACAAACAGAATAAATCACAAATTTATAATTAAGTAAACTATGTGGCAAGAAAGTATAAAATAATTATAAATTTTTAAATAAATTAAAGTAAATTAGTAAGTAAAGAAAATTAAATTAAATAAGAGC